TAAATTCCTTTGAGCACAGACCCAGAGTCCTCAATCGCTCCTCATGTGACAAGCCCTTCATCCTCAGGATCATTCTTGTAAACCTCCTCTGGATACCCCTCCAAGGCCAGCACATCCTTCCTTAGATACGGGGCCCAAAACTGCTCACAATATTCAAACTGCTGTCTGACCAGAGACTTACACAGCCTCAGCTTTCGTATTCTAGCCCTCTTGAAACCAATGTTCATGTTGCATCTCTAGTTTGGCAAAATTAGCTGATATTCCAGCGGAGGGATGACTGACGAAGCAGTGGAGGAGGGAGCGGCGTCTACGCCAGTGAGGAATTTCAAAAGGAGGTCAAGGACCTTGTGTGGTTGGTAGGTCAGGGCTGAGGGGACGGGGTGGGGGGGGAGTGGTGAGGTGGCTGGGGTGTGGATGCGCCAGTGAGGCCGGGGGTTTTGAATGACGAGCAGAAGAGGAAGGAGTGTGGTGATAGAAGGGCCAATTGTTGGCGAAGATTGATAACTCCCCTCAGTGAGTATAAAATTACTCAGGCTGAAAGTTGCTTTTTCCACGTAGATGATACAATCAGATTGAATTATTTTCACTGACTGAATGTTGAAGGAAAGTCCATGGATTAAGTCGGATAGGGAAAGTGATAACTCACAGAGGAACATGCCTTCCAGTGCATTGTATCAAGACTACTACAAAGGTACAGGCTTGAACTGGGGAGTAATTTTGCACAAGGAGATTTGACCTCGGATTGACCCCTGCCCGTGATCTGAGTGTGTGTGTTGGATTTGATAAATATACAACCATACAGTACAGAGGAGGCCCCTCAGCTCTTTGAGTCTACACTGACAAAAAAACTACCCTCATCCTAGCCATAAACCTAACCCTAACCTTAACATTAAGCTTAATCACAACCCTAAGTCCAACCCAAAACTTAACCTCAACTATAACCATATTCTTAACCCTAACCCTAACACCAACCTTAACACTAATCTTAACCATAACCCTAACTCCAACCCGAAACCTAACTTCAACTATAATTCTAACCGTAACCCTAACCTTAACATTAACCTTAACCATAACCCTAACCTCAACCTGAAACCTAACTTCAACTATAATTCTAACCCTAACCATAAACCTAACCCTAACACCCCAACCTTACATTAACCTTAACCATAACCCTAACTCCAACCCAAAACCTAACTTCAGCTATAGCCCTAAACCTAACCCTAACCCTAACCTTAACCCCAACCTTAACATTAATCTTAACCATAACCCTAACTCCAACCCAAAACCTAACCTCAACTATACCCCTAACCCTAACCATAAACCTAACCTTAACCCCACCTTAACATTAACCTTAACCATAACCCAAACTCCAGCACAAAATTTAACCTCAATTACAACCATATCCCTAACCCTAACCTTAATCCTAATCCTAACTCTAACCATAACCCAAACCCTATTCTACCCTAACCAGAAACCTAATCCTAACCTTAACCCCAAACTTAACACTAACCTTAACCATAACTCTAACACCAACCGAAACCTAAACTCAACCATAACTCTAAACCTAACCATAACCCCAACCCTGACCTTAAGCCTAACTCTAACCGTTACCCTAAACCTAACTGTAACCCGAACACTAATCCTAACCCGAGCCCTAACACTAACTCTAACCCTAACCCCTAATGCTAGCCCGCACTAGACCCAAAGCCTTGAATGTTCAAACGCTCATCCAAGTACATTTTAAAGGCTGTGAGTTTACCCGCCTCAATTACTGTCTCAGGCATTCCAGCACCCCATCACCATCTGGGTGAAAACCATTTTCCATAAATCCCCTCAAAACCGTCTGCAGTCCACCTTAAAATTATGGGCCCCTCATTATTGGCCAATGAAAGTGAACTCAAAATGGAGTTCAACAACTTTAGGGCCATGAATGCTCTCGTCATTTTTATTACACCACACCCCTACACCCCCAACTGTCTTGCTTGCATGGTTGTTCTTAGCAAACCTGACCTAATCTCGACGATCTCCATCCTCCATTAACACCCACTTTGCATCTCAATCACTCCTCTACAACTACTTCCCATTGTCTTTTGCTCTGGATGCTGTCGCTATTTGCTCCATTTGCTCCCACTCCCTCATTTGTCACCAAAATAAAAACCATCCTTTCCCAGCTCCCTTCAGTTCCAAAGAAGGGTCACTGGACCTGAAATGTTAACTGTCTGTCCATAGACACTGCCAGACCTGCTGAGTTTCTCCAGCATTCTCTATTTGGTTAGCTCTGGATAGTCATCTTTTTCATTGAAATTGCAACATGCTTATCCATGGGTGCTAGTTCTCCCCAAGTCCTTGACTACATCACCCCAATCCCTTCCTCTCTCAGTGTGACCTCAACTGCCCTCCTCTTATAGGGAAGAGGTCACACACCCTAGGATTGAGTTTCCTGTCACTTAGAAGGTTTCGTGGCAGATTGTTTCCAAGTTAGCAAAAAGATGGGGGTTGATAGGGGCTATTTCCATACGTTGGAGAGTCTAGGACTAAAGGAGCAGAGTCTAAATATTGGAGCCAGATTTCCCAGGAGCGAAATTTGTGTGAAGTCTTCATGGAAAATGTCATAATTTAGACATTGCTTTGGCCACTTTTGGAATACTGCATTCAATTCTGGTCTCTCTGCTATAGGAAAGATGTTGTTAAACTTGAAAGTGTGCAGACAAGATTTACAAGGATGTTGCCAGGGTTGGAGGGTTTGAGCGAAAAGTGAATAGGCTGGGGCTATTTTCCCTGGAGCGTCAGCGGCTGAGGGGTGACCTTATAGAGGTTTATAAAATCATGAGGGGCATGGATAGGGTGAATAGCCAAGGTCTTTTCCCCAAGGTAGGGGAGTCCAAAATGAGAGGGCATTGGTTTAAGGTGAGAGGGGAAGGATTTAAAAGAGACCTAACGGGAAACTTCTTCACACAGAGGGTGGTGGGTGTGTGGCATGAGCTGCCAGAGGAAGTGGCGGAGGCTGGTACGATTACAGCATTTAAAAGGCATCTGGATGGGTACATGAATAGCAAGGGTTTAGAGGGATATAGAATTCACATAGAATCCCTACAGTGTGGAAACAGGCCCAGCAGCCCAACAAGTCCACACCAACCCTTCGACCACCCCACCCAGACCCATCCCCCTATAACCTACCTCAGCTACATATCCCTGAACACTACGGGGAATTTAGCAAGGCCAATCCACCTAAACTGCACATCTTTGGACTGTGGGAGGAAACCAGAGTACCATGCAGACACGGGGAGAATGTGCAAACTCCGCACAGACAGTCGTCCGAGGGTGAAATTGAACCTGGGTCCCTAGCGCTGCGAGGCAGCAGGGCTAACCACTGAGCCACTGTGCTGCCCCAATGGGCCAAATGGGACTGGATTAATCTGGGATATCTGGTTGGCATGATCGAGTTGGGCTGCAGGGTCTGTTTCCATGCTGTATATCTCTATGACTCTAAATGGGGCTAGATTAATCTAAGAAAGCTGGTCAGCCTGGACGAGTTGGGCCGAAGGGTCTGTTTTCTTGCTTACATCTCTATAGTGCAGTCAAATCCTTCCTGTAATGTAATAGTAGATGGTAGTTTAGCTGTGGACTAATTACTGTTCGAGTGTATCTCCCTTGCGCCCTGGTAGCAAGGGAGATCTTGGATTCTCGAGTCATCGATTTTCTTGTGGTGGTGGGAGTCAGGTTCCAGAATCAGGGTGGATGTCAGTGGGTTTCAGGATGTACATGTGCTCCTGGGCGAGAGGGTAAGGATGAGCGGTGGGTCGGAGCTCCAATCCATACCATTGCCTTCTCCAGTGCATGTTGACAACACCGTTGTGAATGTAGAATCAGTCACGTACAGCTGTATTAAGGGGCTACCACTCCAGTGACAGAGGTGGGAGTCAAGTTTATAGTCTTCGATTTCTCTGTTCAGTTCCTCTTTTCCCTTTGCAGGTAACTGGAAGCTGCTTGGAGCGTGTGCCGCAGCTGAAGGGAGATAGACCATGGACTTCAGAGCCCGGAAGAGTCTGGTGTGACCTCTGTCTTGCGTCGTGCCTCCCTCCCTCCCTCGCCTACTGGCTTGTTCGTCTTCTCTCTCTCTCGCTGCCTCGGGAGGTCCCCGAGCTCAGAAGCGATGCGTCATCTGTCGGGGGCTCAGCCGAACAGTTCACCCGGGTGCGGGCAACACAATTCCTCCTGAAAGAGGGGCCGGGCACGGGGAGCGAAGGGGATAAGTCGAAGGTTGGGGTGGGAGGGGGTTCTGTCTCCGGACTTTGTGGTGTGAACTGACCACCTCTGCACGGGCCACGGCTCAAGGGACCTCGGGCGAAGATGGAGAGATAGAAGGACCGAAGGGAAACTCACCACCCCCACCCCGCCCTGAACACCCTTCCCCCGGCTCGCACCCACCCCCCGGACGACTCAACTGCGCCCTCGCCCCCCCCCAACCCCCTGGAGTGACAGGCCACTCTCGGCTACGGGCCGCGTACCCGTGACGACAGGGCCCAGCAGCCAAGACCCCATCCCCTCCCCACCCAAAAACAAGAATCAACCAATCCCACACGTCTGAGGGGCTGACTGCCCGACACCTCCCGAGGTGGGGGAGGGGACGGGAGGGGTGGCTGGGGTCCCGGGGGAGGGAGGGGGGGGTGGTTTGCAGGAGGTTGGGGAGGAAAGGCTGCTCAGGCCAGAGGGAGAGCGGGCTGGTGAACTGGGGGGGGGGGGACGGGGTTGCACCCACACCCCTCCCTTTCCCTTCCCTCTGCCCCACCGCGCGGGCCGTTGGGACAGGAGTTGAGGCGTGGGGCAGGGGAGAGTAAAGGCTCCTCCCACGGCCAGAGGGTGTCGGGGGTGGGGCAGCTCCCCAGCGGCAGCGGACATTTGAACTGGGTGGGCGTTAACGCTCGAGGCGCGCGCGCACGCACTTTCCCGCCAAACCGACGGCGCGAGCTGCCACCGCGCGAACCCCACGAGGGTCCAAGATGGCGGCCGTCAGGGTGACGCTGCCGCAGCTGAGCGCCCTGTTGGCTCTGGCGTGCGGGCTGGCGGGTCGGATCGCGGCCCTGGAGTTCGGAGGCGCGGCGGGGCAGTGGGCGCGCTACGCGCGGTGGGGGGAGGCGGGCTCCCAGGGCGAGTTGAGCTTCAGCCTGAGGACCAACGCTTCCCGGGCGCTCCTGGCGTACCTGGACGACGGCGGTTACTGCGACTTCCTCGAGCTGATGATCGTCGAGGGAAGGCTGCGCCTGCGCTTCACCATCTTCTGCGTGGAGCCCGCCAGTTTCCGCTCCGAGACCCGCGTGGACGACAACCGCTGGCACATGGTGCTGCTCACCCGCAACTACCGGGAGACCACGCTGGCGGTGGACTCGGAGGTCAAGACGGCCGCGGTGCGCTCCAAGCGCCGGGACATGACGGTGGCCAGCGACCTGTTCGTGGGTGGGATCCCGCCGGACGTGCGCCTGTCCAGCCTCACCTCCAGCACCGTCAAGTACGAGGTGCCCTTCCGAGGCCTCATCGCCAACCTCAAGGTGGGCGGCACACCCCCGGCGCTGCTGGGAAGCCAGGGGCTGCAGAACGACCCGGAATTTCTGTGCTCCGGGCACAATCCGTGCCTGAACGGAGGCGTCTGCTCCGTGCTGAACGGGAAGGCGGTGTGCGACTGCTCGGAGACCGGCTACCGGGGGCGTCTGTGCGACGAAGGTAGGGACCCCACCCCCCCGGTGTCCTTCTCTTCCACGCGGGAGTAACGGTAACGCTGGATAGCACTCTGGGAATCTATCGAGAACCTTTCCGCCAGGGTAACAGAGTGATACCCTGACTCTGTAGAACCGCGACGCTGTGGAAGCAGGCCACTCAGCCCGTCGAATCCGCATCGACCCTCCGAAAAACGTAGGCCCATTCCCCTACCCTACCCCTGCATTTCCCACGACTAACCCGCACATCCCTGGGCACTATGGGACAATTTAGCACGGCCAATCCACCCTAACCCGCACATCCCTGGACACTGTGGGGCAATTTAGCACGGCCAATCCACCCTAACCTGCACATCCTTGGACACTATGTGGTAATTTAGCATGACCAACCCATCCTAACCTGCACATCCCTGGACACTCTGGGTCAATTTAGCACGGCCAAGCCCCCCTAACCTGCACATCCTTCGACACTACGGGGCAATTTAGCACGGCTAATCCACCCTAACCTGCACATCCCTGGGAACTATGGAGCAATTTAGCACGGCCAATCCACCCTAGCCTGCGCACCTTTGGGCTGTGGGAGGAAACCAGAGCACCTGGAGGAGCCCCCATGCAGACACGTGGAGAATGTGCAAATTCCACACAGACAGTTGCCTGAGGGTGGAATCGAACCCGGGTCCCTGGTGCCGTGAGGCAGGGGTGCTAACCACCGAGTACCAAAAGTAACAGAGTGACACACTGAAACTGTGCCCAGAGTGATACCCAGTGACACTGTGCTGTAAATGCTTGGAAAGTGCTCTGTAAGGCAGTCTTAGGTGCTCTGATGTTGTGTTTTGTACACCAGCTTTTCTCCTTAACCCTGGATGTTATGTCAGAAATGTTTATAAAGAATGACTCCGCCCAGGTTCCTTTGAATGATGAATAGACTGTTGACTGAGAGGACATTCACCTATGGAAGCATATTGAAATGGCGAGGGTACGATGTAAAATTGGGCAACCTTAGATGCAAGGTGTTGGAAAGGGGAATGGGGGAGTGGAACATTTTTACTGGGTGGATCCTTCCAGTGGCTGATGTTCAGACAGAGATGATATACTCATGGAAATAACACAGAACGTCAGTGTGCAGAGACAGAAAACATTTGGAAGTGCAAATGATCTCTATCTCAAAAAAACTGGAGCAGTGGAATGAGATTTTCTGTAGTTCGCTCATGGGATGTGGGTGCCTCTGGCTAGGCCAGCATTTATTACCTATCCCTAATTACCCAGAGAGTAGTTAAGCACATCGCTGTAGGTCTGGAGTCACAATGTAGGCCCAGACCAGGTAAAAATGGCAGTTTCCTTCTCTAAAGAGCCAGATAGATTTTTTTTTTCCCCAACGATTGACAATGGATTCAAAGTCATCGTTAGATTCTTAATTCCAGATATTTTATTGAATTCAAATTCTACCATCTGCCATAGTGGGATTCAAACCTGGGTCCTCAGAACATTAGGTGAGTTTCTGGGTTGATAGTCTAGCAATGGTACCACTGGGCCGTCACTTCTCTGCAGCATTCCAAATTGAACGACACCAAAGTTCTGTATAATCGTAGTAAGACTTGCAATAGAGTGGTGTTATCGGTAGACTGTTAGTCCAGGGAGCACAGCAATGATCTGGGGCCACGTTATGGTTAGGGTAAACGCTGTGTCAGTTGGTGGAACTGGGATTCAATTAAAAATTTGGAATTAAGAGTTTAATGGAAGACCATGACACCATTATCGATTGTCAGAAAAATAAAAAACATGATTCACTAATGCCTGATCAGGGGGAGGGGGAAATCTGCTGTCCTTTGCAGGACTGGGCCTACGCATGACTCCAGACCCTGCAGCAACGCGGTTGACTCTTAACTGCCCCTCTGAGCAATGAGGGTTTGGGGGCAATAACTGGTGGCCTAGCCAGAGAAGCCAATATGCTGTAAAAGGGTACCAAAAAAATCCCCCAGAAACTGTAAGAACCGTGGACGCTGTAAATTGAAAACAAGAACAGAAGTTGCTGGAAAAATTCAGCGAGTCTGGCAGCACCTGTGCAGAAAACTCTCAGGAAACATTTCAGGTCGGAAGGGTCACCGCACTCAAGAGGTTAACTCTGATTTTCTTTCCACCGATGCTGAGCTTTTCCAGCGACTTCTATTTCTCTCTGTGAAAAGGATTGAACAGGATTGAAGGATAGCAGATGTGAGATGGGCCAATGAGCTTGCTTCTGTATTGCATTGTGTCTGTGAATGTTTGAAGATCAGGGGAGTGGTGTTGGGGTGGGGTGTGGTGAGGGGAAGGAGAAGTGAGTGGGGTTGTCTTTGAAAGCAGTCAGGTACCTAAACAATGACAGCGGAGAGCTGCTACAGGTCAGGCAGCATCTGGGGGTAGGAAGAGACGTCAGTTAATGTTTCGGGTAAAGAAAGACATTGCGTTGCTGCCGATTCTGCCCGACTGGGCTACTTGACAGAGCACTTCTGGCATCTCCTGCTTATTTTATGGAGACTGCAGTCCTCTGCCATTGCATCATTCAGTCTTTGCCGTGGGTTGTATGCAAGGCATTTGTCAGGATAGAGGCATGGTCTGCGTTCCTGTCTGCATCTTCACTGCAAACAACTCTCCAGGGCTTTTTTGTAGTGGGTACATCTTCAGGCTCTTTGCTGCGTGAGCGGGGTGGGGGAGGGGATGGTTAGCGTTGGAGGTGTGTGAGGCACTCTGCTCTTGAATAAGCATATCAAAATCAAATCTGATGAGCGTAGCTCATAATTAACATGCTTCTCCCCCTCCAAAAAAACGAGACTCTCGTTGTGCTGAAAACACAACAGGACTGAGGGGAGGGACAGAGTCAGCAATATTCTGTACCTCAGGCAGCACTGCTTTTTACCTCTTCCCTGTCAGGGCATCTCTCTTCCTGCCTGATATTAAAGACCAGAGCAAACCCCTTCAAAATATATTGAGAAGATGTTAGACCCTAACATTGTTTTATTTTTTTAAAGGTAACTGTGAAGTGTCTGAATGCAATTTGATTGACCAAACTACTAGGCTTGAAGCAAAATACACTTTATTCGTACACAACAGTTAAAATACAGACAAAACAAAAATAAAGCAATTAGCTTAACTGCAACTCTATCACAATGCTTAACAAAATAATAGATATAATAACTGCTGCGAATTAACTGTTCTAAGGTAGTAACATCCTACAAACACACCCTTGGCAAAGGCAAATTCAGTAAAATAGATTGTCTCGAGGGCAATTCTCCAGTTAAGGAGGAAAGAGGAAGCTCAGAGCGAGGGTGAGAGAGAAGGAGAGAGACAGATCCATTTATTTGTCACGTACTAAGTACAGGAATACTGTACAGTGAAAAGAGCACAAAGTCGTCATTCACTGGCACCCACTTGGTTACAAAAATGAGAATTAAAAGATTTTAACAGAGCCAATAGGTAAGCAAGAAAAAAAGAACAAGTCCAGGTCTCAGAGTCTCAAGTCCTATCTCCGTAATAGTGCAGGAGCCGCTCCAATCGCTGAGAAACCGAGGAGACCATCGCCACGCAAAAGGCCCGATCTCACCATCGCTGCCTTACCGGCCCGCGCTCTCGCCCGCCCCCATCCCCGTCACTGCCTCACTGGCCTGGGCTCTCGCCCCCGCATCGTCACTGCCTCACCGGCCTGCACTCTTGCCCCTGCACCATCATTGCCTCACAAGCCTGCACTCTTGCCCCCGCCCCCGTCACTGCCTCACTGGCCCGCGCTCTCGCCCGCCCCTCATTCCTGTCACTGCCTCCCTGGCCTGCGCTCTTGCCCACCCCCACCACTGCCTCCCTGGCCCGTGCTCTCGCCCACCCCCCACCCCTGACACTGCCTCCCCGGCCCGGGCTCTCGCCCCTGCACCGCCACTGCCTCCCTGGCCTGCGCTCTCGTCCCCTTCCCCTGGCAAGAACAAGTCCAGGTCTCAGAGTCTCAAGTCCCATCTCCGTAATGGCCCGCGCTGTTGCCCTACTGTCACCACAGGACACAGCCGGCGCGTTTAGCTCTCACCACATGGCTTCCGGTCATGAACCGATTCCTTTAAAGGGGCGGATGGGATGGTGGGGGGATAGAATTACTGCAGAGAGAAGAGAGAAGAAGAGAGAAAGAAAAAGAAAGGGAACTCTGAATGGAACGACTTACCTTGCCGAGAGAGAGAGAGGGAGAGCAAGATTGTGAGAGACGAGAGTGAGAGAGAGCAAGAGATGCAGAGAGAGGGAGTGTGTGCGTGTGTGTGCGAGTGAGAGGCAGAGACAGCGAGAGAAAGAAACTCAAGTGTTTTGCTGTAGCAGAGACAGATGATACAGAGGAACTACTCAAAGCACCAGGCCACGGTGGTTGTTGTAGGCCAGGCAGCCATTGTGCCTCTTCCCACTGGATGGAGAGGAAGAGATGGTGTAGGAATGGCACTGGACTGGTAACCCAGAGCCTTAGTGAGTTGCTGCAGTGTATCTTGTAGATAGTACAAACTGCTGCGACTGAGTGTCGGTGGTGGAGGGAGTGGGATGTTTGTGGATGCGGTGCCAATCAAGCGGGAGCTGCTTTGTCCTGGATGGTGTCAAGCTTCTTGAGTGTTGTTGGGACTGCCCCCATCCAGGGGCAAGTGGGGCGTGTTCCCTCACACTCCTGACTTGTGCCTTGTAGATGGTGGACAGGCTTTGGGGGGAGTCAGGAGGTGAATTACTCGCTGCAGAAATCCCAGCCTCTGATCCACTGTTGTAGTCACTGTGTTTATGTGGTGAGTCTAGTTGTGTTTCTGGTCAATAGTAACCCCCAGGATGTTGATAGTGGGGGATTCAGTGATGGTAACGCCATTGAATGTCAAGGGGGAGACGGTTAGATTCAGTGATGGTAACGCCATTGAATGTCAAGGGGGCGATGGTTAGATTATTTCTTATTGGAGATGGTCGTCGCATCTGTGTGGCACGAATGTTACTCGCCACAGCCCTGACATCCTGAGGAAGCAGAGAAGGCTGAAATCAGGAGGTCGTTGGGGAAAAGATCTTTGTACCAGAACCCC